CTCTTCTTGTCTTATATTTTTTTGTATTATACTTTATTTCTTGTGGTGTACTTAATTTTATTTTTACTAAATTCATTGTTTTGTTTATAACTTATATAGTTTTCTTTAATTTTCTTCTAAATGTCTTGAGAATAGTATATTATTTACTTTACTGTAAGATAATTATTTGAATGTATTATATATAATTGTAATGTACGTACTTTTTACCTTATCCTCCAGTATTTTTACTTTCAGACAGATAAAGTTTGTGAAAAATATTTTCACTAGTCTTATAAAATAAAAATTATTCAATTATTTTTCTCTATGTAATGCAGCGATATCAGAGATGTACCACACAATCATTATATAATCATCGAATAAATTCAAACATTATATAATCATTATATAATCATCGAATAAATTCAAACAATAATTGCCTAAATATGTAATATTAATTTAAAAAAGAACGACTGCCAAACTTACTCGAGAAGGAGAACGAATAAGATGCGGCAACTGCTCAGTTCATCAAGGTTACATTAGTGTCGACAACAAGACGATACAAGCTATAAATATCTAGAATTCTTTTGTGAGAGCATGGGTCTATGGAGAATGCATGTTTTCAACTGTCCAAGCGATACGACCGCATCCATCACTCGCGGTGATAAACGACTGCGAACAGGACGTAAAAATGATATGCCGATAAAGCAAAAAGTATCGCAAGACGCGCGTGGTCTATAAATAACGTAACAACGCTAATGAAGTCCCGTCATCACCATATCCAATCGAAGAAGTCTTCAACGTCGAGATTCTTGCTTTCATCAAACCGACTGATAACGCGGGAGAATAACTCCGAAGAATAACGCGGGCGATGCTACAACGACATCACGTCGGATGGTAATGAAATAAATTTTTAATAATGCCACAACTTATCGGGTGGCTAGTCAACCGATCCGACGATAAAATTATCGTGCTCGTGTAATATCAGGTAAAGAGCCATTGTCTATCGCAACGAGCTGCAGGTCGAAGCCGAAGGCTGCGACAAGGGATCAGGCCGGTTGGCTGGTAGGCAAGCAAGCAGGCAGGCAGGCGCAGGCAACCGGCGGGGATAATTTAACCACGCGCGGCGAAGAGCCGGTTTTCCACGGCGGCCTATCACGAAAGTTGCGCGCGCGGAGGTACGACGAACCAGAAGGATGAGTCACGGCTGTTCTTCTCTCTTCCCACTCTCTTTCTGTCGCGTCGAGGTCGCGGCGACGAAGAAAGGGAAGGAAGGGAGACCACGCACGCGAATGCGATTCAACAGCAGACTGTGAAGGAATATGAAGAGGAAGGTGGTGAAGGAAACGGGAGGATCAGCCGTCGCGAGATCTCATGCTTCGCTACATGCTTTGCTTACGCGAGACTATGTTCTCGAGAGAGCAAGATAAGACGGGAAGCTGCGCAGAGAGCGAGGAAAAAAAATTGCGAGAGAAACGGGAAGAAAAGCGAGAGCTGGCGTTGCTATTTATTATGCATCTGCCCCGGCAAACGGATCGCAGCTGCCTGCCTGTGTTGACCGGAAGGAGCTATGATGATTCATTGCTGCCTCAGGATAATTATCCTAGTATGCTTTTCAGAACGTGACTTCAGCAGGTGGATTGCAAGTAAAGTACGTTGCTTCATCGTTCTTATTTCTACTAATGTAGATTAACTTTAATCTCGGTTTAATTCACTCTTTATCTTTTTCTGATTCTCAGAACACTAGGAAAAGATAAAAAATTAATTAAACCGATCCTATTACAGTTTATCAACGTTGACAAATATGATATTAATATCCGAGCTCTAAATAGGTATACACAATTTAACGTGAATTTTTTTCAGGAAGAAGTGTGATAATCGTACGCGGAAAAACCGATTTTATACTAAAGCATCTAAAAATTTAACTGGATACACAGATCTAAAAATAAGTTTGTTGGTCTAATAATTACGCGAATATATATATATATATATCTCTCAAGCATGATGAACAATGTTGTAAAAAATTTATTATAACATTCTAGCAATCAGTTCAAGCGTCCTACATACATATATATCATAACCATTTTAATTGTCCAACTACATTATTTTCACATCTGTGTCTAAATTCTTTGGAGTACAATTTCACTCTACAGAGTGAAAATTGAAAGCCAGTTTTGAAAAAGAATAGCTCAATTTTCAATCTTTAAGAGTAAGGCTTTACTTTTCACTTAGAGTGAAATTTACTCTAAGTTTTAAAAAGTGGTTAAAGTAAATACTTCAACAAAACCATCCTTTCCGTGTAAACAAAATTATAAAATACTTAATATTATCATGCACATTACGTTATAAGATAAAGGACCCCGCACGTTTTTTATGGGACAGTACTTTCGGTTAAAATGGCTGAAAATTTAGTATGTTGTAGCTTATGGTGTTCTGATCAAAAGTCTCAATGGGCATGTGGTCCTGGAATCAACAAGTTCTGAGATATTGGAGTTCAAAGGGCGATATCGGCTTCATATCGATTATTATGAAAAGTAACATATTGCTACGTTGCCTTCTAATATACAGTATAAATATTTTATTGGTATATAAAAAAAACATGTTTTTATTGTCTACAATATATATTTGTTATCTTCACCGTATGTTAGTCAGTTGTACGATAACAAGCGTAGTGATTAATTGAGTATTGTGATGCGTGTGTAAACTTTTACCGCAGCACCTGTAAAACCTCGGTGGCCTAAGAAAACCATTTTCTTTCCCTTACATGAGTATTTGTATTTGCAGAAAATGGTTAATAGATTGCGAATACCATGTTATATATGTAAAACAGCTCTAATGCCTCGAAATATGGTCAAACTATATGGTGATGATAATGCAGGTAGGCAGGAAATAATTATGTCCAGACGAATTGATGCTGGGAGACCGCCTCTTGACATAACACCACTAAAAAATATTTTTTCGACAATCTAAAGAAAGTCTGTGTACATCATAAACTGTATTGCAAATCATACAAGAATGGGATGAAGTTTATTTTAAAACATTTAAAACAAAGTTTTAAGCATGAAAGATTATTTTCCAGTGCTTGTAGTTCTCGTGTGATCGAAAAATTGCAATTGTTGCATATCCGAGTTAGTGGTGTTATGTCAAGAGGCGGTCTCCCAGCATCAATTCGTCTGGACATAATTATTTCCTGCCTACCTGCATTATCATCACCATATAGTTTGACCATATTTCGAGGCATTAGAGCTGTTTTACATATATAACATGGTATTCGCAATCTATTAACCATTTTCTGCAAATACAAATACTCATGTAAGGGAAAGAAAATGGTTTTCTTAGGCCACCGAGGTTTTACAGGTGCTGCGGTAAAAGTTTACACACGCATCACAATACTCAATTAATCACTACGCTTGTTATCGTACAACTGACTAACATACCGTGAAGATAACAAATATATATTGTAGACAATAAAAACATGATTTTTATATACCAATAAAATATTTATACTGTATATTAGAAGGCAACGTAGCAATATGTTACTTTTCATAATAATCGATATGAAGCCGATATCGCCCTTTGAACTCCAATATCTCAGAACTTGTTGATTCCAGGACCACATAAACTACAACATACTAAATTTTCAGCCATTTTGACCGAAAGTACTTTCCCATAAGAAACGTGCGGGGTCCTTTGATTATTTATTATATATATTTTATTACATCGTTAATTTTTCAAGAATCGATCGCGGTCCAATTGAAGCTTCCGAGACTCCTTATGACGCGAGGCATCGCGCGATCACCAATCTATGTAGCTCGATATAACCGTGCTGATCGAGGTATAAAGCGCGCGTAACGTGGAATAGCTTGTTAAACCGCAACGACGAAGATTAATAATAACATCTACAAAATGAGCTCCATCATTCACGGAGCTCGTGAAAGGCCGTCGCGTCGTTGTAATGGCTGCGTCGTCAGCGTCAGGAGGTATAACGTGTAGCTGCATAATACTTCATCATTTCCCTGCGCGACAATGATACGATACCGGGGGATGACCCTCGTCCTGCCGATAAACACGCGAACTGAACAATCGTGAACGGTACTAACAGAACTTTGTTAACACGGACCCTTGCGCCGAGACGATCGTTTCTACCAAATAAATCTCTGATAATCGCGAGCACCTTCGAGATTTATCGCGACGTTCCGGAGCCAATTAAGCACCGTCCGAGAGCCCTCGATCCCGCGCAGTGAAGTATTAGCGCCTAGACTAACCTAGAGATCCCATAACACAGAGTCTGACCATAAATTTTTGATTGGCTCTGGTTGCTTTTGTACTCAACTTCAGTAAGTTAGAATGAGACAGCATACTCTATAAATTCATTGGAATGGAATTTCACTTATCAGAGTGGCAATTCATTCTAAAAGTTTAGAGAGTACATAAAAAGAAACAGTATATATATCCTTCTTTTATTTTTACTCTTATTTTGAAATTTCTCGTAATCAGACTGTTATAGAATCTCTAGGCTACTCTCTGAGCTATAATGCACGAGGACGACAAATTTAGGGGGTTTTCGGCATTTTTGAAAAAAATTCCTAAAAAATTTGTAGTTTTTATCAAACGCGAATAATTGCCTATCCTATCTAATTAAATAACCAACAGAATTTGATTAATTTAGATTAAGGCTTGAATAAGGAGGGCAACGATTTAATTGCATAGGGATGGCGTGAGCTCTAATCCACTTCTGATCCCGTGACAGTTATCGCGTGGCCGTCCACGATTAGGTATCTCTCCACGCGGCGCACATGGATCGCAGCACGAACTTCAAGGGAAACACGAAGTGCTACGCTTGATCAAACATAGCCCGTTATTGGTCGGGACTTTTTCGACACAGCCGACTGGTCAATTATTCGGTCGCGGTGATTATGCGGCCGACAAAAGATCGAGGAAGTTGGAACGGGGTCGCGGCGATTCATTGCCGCTCGTAAAGCCGATCACCCTGTTTTTCTCTCCGCGACGTGATCGTGCACCACCTACGCTACCTTGCCCTGGAACTTGTTCAGGCACTGCAATATGTATGTACCTATTTCATGAAAGTTGTTCGATGAGTGCAAAAACAATCTCATTCGCAATGGGCAATAACGGTCCGCTCGAAGCGCATTGCGTAACTAGTTGCGAACGTCGCGCGGGTTTTATTCGTCGATAACAAGAAGTGGCAATATCGGCAAAATTAAAAACACTTGCGACTTTTTCGAAAACACCTCAATGCAAATGCATGATATCAAAAAGCAGTATAATTAGCTCGAGCGAAATTGAACTCGAACGAAAACACGATAATTGTTTAATGCGAAAACGTACGATGATCGGTGCTATGAATTTAGTCAAGAGGTAAAATTATCCAATTATTCGCTACTCTCTGAATTATAAATTATGCATATTGTTTCAATTACGAGTATTCGGCAGAAACGTTTCCAAGCAAACATAGGCTAATTAAATATATACTGGCAAATATACATCATCTTGCACTCCCAAAAGTGAGAGTTAACGAATTTTGTAATCGTATAGAGAAATAACGTTAAAAATAGATCGTATGTTTATTTTGAGAAGCGTAGTGTTTTCGTAAAGTAAATTCTTGTCACTTCATCAATTGAAGTAACAATATATTCTTATAAATGTTCTTTCGCGACTCACCTCTGCAAGTGGCTCTTCCTTGGTGACGTCTCCATTCTTGGGCGTTTCATCGCGGCTCGGCTTAGTCTTGTCCTTCTTGCTGAAGCTGATCGACCTGAAGGACCACTTTTTCTTCTAGAAAACAAGGAGACATGTCTGATAGCAATCGGCAAACTCATCGCGTGTAATTACGCATCGTATTTCGTAGAAGGAAAACTTCTAATTAAGATGAACAATTAATGATATGCGAATATGTTTCGATATCCTATCGTGATATAAGGAAAATTTATGTATTTTATCAAGCATAATTAATTAAGTCCGGATCGACGAGCGCAGATGCAAGTCGCTTTACCTTTTCCTTCTTTTTGGTTTCCTTATTGTCTGGAGAAGTGGCAGTATTCGGACTGGCAGGGGTGGCCTCTGTGGGCGTCGTGACCTCCGCAACCTCCGCAGGAGAGTCTCCAGACGATTCCTGCTTCGTCTCCTCAACTTTTACTTCTTCTTGCTGCGGTTGCTAAAAACAAAGATAAAGTTTTCTTTGAATTTCGTCTTTTCAGACATAAAGTGTAGACACGCTCAATATTATTGTATATTATCTTGTATGATATTATTGATGCTCTCTTTAAACAAAATAAATAAAAGGTTCAATGCAGTTTTCAGAGTCATAAATATTGACGTTCAATAATATCGTGCAATAAAATTGAATATCTATGAATAGCTTTGCATTACTTCTATTACGTAAATAAAATGAGTGTTTTTAATTCGAGCAATAAAAATACTTTCTAATAGATACATAAATGTTTTACGATTGGACAAACAAATCATCTGGATTCTTAGAAATCAGTCCAGTGATATGAATCATCACAAATAATATTTTACCCTAGTATAGAATTTCTTTAAGCATCATGCAGAATATAAACGAGAAAAGAGAACCATAAAAATAAATGATATCGTACGTAAGATATACTCCACGTCGTAAATCTTGTATCGTAAATCGATACCTTGTAAAGCTACAATGTACGACTTCTCGCGATAATACTTCCGAGTCCTACCATTTCACGAAATGATAGCGCTCGAGCATCAGCTGATAGCTGCTTTCAACGCGGCTCTTCATGACACGCGATATATTTAAAGTCGTTAAAGAGAGATGTCTAGGCATTTTCCATGTCATCCTAAAATCACGTACCTCATTAACAGCTTTATTACTTCGCTTTACTACGTCATTATTAACGAAACATAGAACGTAAATTACATTACGGAGAGCTTTGACGAGAATATAATTATATGTAATCATCAAAGAGCTGATTAAAAATTGAGATCTCAATATTTTTCGTAGATTTAAATTAAGGACTTAAAATTAATATCATAGAAACGGCGCAAACGCAAATTTCGTTTCTTCGCTAATTCATCTCGAAATTGATTAATTTAAATCTTACCAATTTGCACGAAAATGTATAGAAGCTACATGACATCGAAAATCTCATTATCTCATTTTCCGTATAGTTAGGTGAAACTGATTTTATACAGACAGGCTTTTCGCCCACGAGCGTATACGTTTCCGTGATGATACTTGTATAGTCGTCGAAAGTTTCTCATCTTGCGTCCGGAAGTACCGCCACCATTCTGGAATGAAGTCGCCTAACTCTTTCCCATCGTACCCTGAGGCCCATCTCTCACTTATAAATAATATCAAACTTCCGTGAACAGGGTTAGTTTTCCCGGAAAGTGAATAGTGCACAACGAGCTGTACGACACGAGAAGCTCCTTTGTCCCGATCCTAAAAGACCCTCGACAGTCTCTCTGGTGTGCAGCTTACCAAACTAGCCAAGAAAAGTGCAGTCGACGAGGAGAGCTTGTCGGCTCGTCTTTGCGTAAAGAAAGTTTGAAAGAGTCAATTAGATTTCGAGTGTCGAGCCTTGAAGCCTCAGAATTTCTAATAAGCTTCCCATAGAGATAATTGCATACTTAAAATCCAGTTACAGAACAAATAAGCCAATAAAGATTAGAAGAAGAATCATCAAATTATTGTACTTCTATTGACAAATATAAATTGTAAATTACTTATTATTAAATACAGATATATTTTTTTATTTCAAAAACAATAATAATAGGTTAAAAAAGGGCAAATAAGAGTCAGATAATAATATGAAATGTATAAGAGGTCAAAAATTAAAATATATTAACGACGCAGAATGCACAACAATTATATTATACAGGGTGTTCATTAAGTCGCGGACCGGTCTAATATCTTTTGAAAAAATAAAAATTTCGAAAATCGCCGAAACACGTCAAACGCGTTTTCAAAAAATCTATCTTTTGCGGGGGGTTGCAACCCCCCAACCCCAAGGGGGTGCGGGGGAGGGGCGCGAGGGGGGAATAAATTCTTAAATGGGAAGGGAAATCGAGTGGGGGCTCGTTTGAAAGGTCTTTTCGAGACGAATTCAAAACACTATGCATAGAGGGCGCTACGATCATTTTTCGCAAAAATATTTGAGTTTTAAGATTTTTAATACCACCGGCATTTGCGTTACCCAATGTACACCACGTGGAGGTTTTAATACATCGTGCAGCCCTGAAAAGGACTGATTTTATGTAAAACGATCATTTATTCTCTTTGGGGTGCTTGATTATAGTGAGTCCCCTTGCCTCTCACTTGTGCGGTTGGTACATATGCCAGTTTATTACTTACAACCAGGGTTGGGTAAGTTAATGTTTTTTTTTAACTGAATAAAGTGAAAGTTAATGGCTTTACAAAATTAATAATGTTAAGTTACAAGTTGAAGGAATAAAAAATTAACTTAACGTAAGTTAAGTCAATATTGAATTAACTCAAGTTGAAAAAAAAGTTTATTTCGAAAAAAATTATTTTTTAGATCAAAATGTCCTAATTTTTTTTAAATGAGATTAAATAACTACAATTCAGATTATTAGGTTTACTTTTTAATAAGTCTTAAGCCATAAGAAATTGATCAATTAAATTCGAATACGAGAAGAATATTTGACTATAATTAGGTAATTTCTTATGACTTAAGGTTTAAAACACTTATTGTAGATCCGGACTAAGGTTTATGACATAAGGCATAACCGCATAAGCCAATTAGAGGGCTGTATTAGCATCTTAAGAAATTATTTAAGATGGTCTTAAAATAGGAACAGAATATACGCTGTTAGGACGGTATCCATAGTCCGAACATAGTCTAAATCTCAAGGATGTTTTAAAATACTAATACGGCTTTTTGATTGCATGGTTCATGCACTAGTTTAATATCATCTCGAATCTTGAGTAACATCTATGGATTCCGTTCTAACAGCGTATATTCTGTTCCTATTTTAAGACCATCTTAAGTAATTTCTTAAGATACTAATACAGCCCTCTAATTGGCTTATGCGGTTATGCCTTATGTCATAAACTTTAGTCCGGATCTACAATAAGTGTTTTAAACCTTAAGTCATAAGAAATTACCTAATTATAGTCAAATATTCTTCTCGTATTCGAATTTAATTGATCAATTTCTTATGGCTTAAGACTTATTAAAAAGTAAACCTAATAATCTAAATTGTAGTTATTTAATCTCATTTAAAAAAAAATTAGGACATTTTGATCTAAAAAATAATTTTTTTCGAAATAAACTTTTTTTTCAACTTGAGTTAATTCAATATTGACTTAACTTACGTTAAGTTAATTTTTTATTCCTTCAACTTGTAACTTAACATTATTAATTTTGTAAAGCCATTAACTTTCACTTTATTCAGTTAAAAAAAAACATTAACTTACCCAACCCTGGTTGTAAGTAATAAACTGGCATATGTACCAACCGCACAAGTGAGAGGCAAGGGGACTCACTATAATCAAGCACCCCAAAGAGAATAAATGATCGTTTTACATAAAATCAGTCCTTTTCAGGGCTGCACGATGTATTAAATCCAACCGAGCAACCTCCACGCGGTGTACATTGGGTAACGCAAATGCCGGTGGTATTAAAAATCTTAAAACTCAAATATTTTTGCGAAAAATGATCGCAGCGCCCTCTATGCATAGTGTTTTGAATTCGTCTCAAAAAGACCTTTCAAACGAGCCCCCACTCGACCCCCCTTCCCATTTAAGAATTTATTCCCCCCTTGGGGTTGGGGGGTTGCAACCCCCCGCAAAAGATAGATTTTTTGAAAACTCGTTTGACGTATTTCGGCGATTTTCGAAATTTTTATTTTTTCAAAAGATATTAGACCGGTCCGCGACTTAATGTATATTTTAGTTCTTGACTTCTCTTATACATTTCATATTATTGATGATCCTTTTTTGCCCTTTTTTTAAACTCATTATTGTTTTTTAAATATTATAAAAGAGTCCTTTATTATTTATTATTTAATTTTTTTATCTAAAATTATTTTTAATATTAGAACTGTCGAAAGTGCCAATCTAACTTTTTAATTTCAATTAGTATATATAAAGAGTCATTTCGATACTACTTATATAGAGAGAGATAGAATTATTTTTATTATATTATATATTCAAATATTTTCAGTATTCTGTATTGTATATCTAATACAGAAAAGCGGAGTCAAAATGGTATCTCTCATCAATGGTATTAGTTTTAAAAACAGCATAGAAACTATTCTGCAAATTTGCAAAAAAAAATTCTGAAGAAACTGTTAAGCAAAGAAAACTGAGACAATGCAATCGTTAATTAAACAAAGAATGTAATTACGATTCACGACGCAAGGCAGACGAACAGAATAATGCTTCGTTAAAAACGCTTCTTGGAAATTGGCTGAAAGACAAATATCTGCATTTCTCTCCTTGAATTGGCGATTCGTCTCATCATTCGTGTGTTTCCATAAACTAAAATTATTTCATCACACACAAATTTATTCTTTTTCGCAATCGCGCATTTCGTCATAATATCTCTTGCAATTTTTTTATCGTAAAATTTCATTCTAAACTCGGAAGACTGTTTTTGCCAGGTATGACTTTCATTATTTAGCTACTTCTATCTTTAATTTCCAATTCGTGATCGATAAAATCGGTAGCCGCGACGGTAAATATTGTCTCGAGTCGAATGAAATAACCGTGAATGGCATTTCGCAAGTCGTGGCAGGTGACTGGTCGATTGTACAAATAACCGGCTACTTTATTATCAATGCAATACGCGAGAACAATTCCACACGTTCATTCGAGATATGCAAACACGCACATACAATGTGATAAAACAACGCAACGGCCGATCAAGCGACGTTCCACGACGTCGTTTAAGAACGATATAAATCTGACGTGGGCGTTGGATGGCGGATTTCCTGATTTACAACGAACTTGTGCGACACGACGCGACGCACCGTCACATTCGATTACAAGTGACGCGCCCAAACACCGTTCTTCTCTCTTCCTCTTCTCGTTATCGCCACCTTTTTCACCACGACAAGCGAGACGAGGCAAATCTCCTCAGACGCGTTTTACACGCATTATATTATGTAAATATCGGCTTATTTCTGCATTCACGAAACGGTGTGGAATTCCAC